GGGAAGGCTTTGCATAAAACTAACAAGTTAACACTGGAAAGAATGTCCCTGTAAGCTTTTGCTTAGTCACAGCAAAGGACTGTGGAAGCTGTTAGCAATTTCTGGCCCTTTTACACAAGGACTATTCCAATATATTTCTCTTTTTATCTTCTCCTTCCTCCATACTTTAAAAAATGAACACACACACACACACACACACACACACACACACACACACACACACACGAGATGGGAGCTGTGTGTTTGAATTCCTATTTGTCTTTGAGCATTCAGTTATCAGGGGCCAGGGAAATTTGGAGCAGCTTTTCAAATCATGCTAAAGGTGATGTAAAATTTGAAGAAAACTCTGGAGAAGGGTTGGCATCTTAGAGGGTGGGTGATCTTTCAGCTACTCCTGATTTTCTAGAAGCAAAAATTCAATGTTCTATCTTGGTCCCATCTTTCAGGTGTTGCCTTAGTTAAGCTGCTCCCTCTAGCCTTCCAAACTGAAAAGATGAGGAAAGAAATTGGAGCAAGGAAAGAGAAACCCTGACTTATTTTTCAGATATTCATATAGTCCTCCTTTCCTGGTCACTCAAATGAACACAGCCCTGGTTGTGTGTCAGAAGCTTACAGAACTTCACCCTAAGGCCAGCGGAGTTGGCCAGAATTAAAGACACTAACAATGTCTGTTGAGCATCTACTATGGGCCCAAGTACATATGTCTGTGTTACTGGCACTGCATTACATCATCAAATGGAAGGCAATACTGTTATATCCCTTTTACAGATGAGGGAATGGGTTCAGTGGGTTAAGTAACTCACTGAAGGTCATAATGAGTTGTGGCTCTGGGACTGAGTTCACACAGCCAGTCAATTAGAACATGAATTAAATCTTCTTATTTCGAATCACTATGCTTTCTATCACATTGTTCTGCCTTTCAATCTTTGGGTTAAAGCCAGGTGTAGAAAGTTCCAGCCTAGCAGCATTTTGGGGCCAGGATAAAAGCAATGAAGAAATGAGAGTTTAAAGGAACTATCTTAAACTGTTTGCTTCTCATCCCTAATGAAAACTTCAGCGAATAGAATAAATATCCAGGACACAGAAGCAATATTTGCATGAGTAATTCACAAATATGCATGATTGAAGATGAGATAACTGGTCCCTAAGGTCGTCTAGTCAGGCTCATCTTAAAACAAAACTGGTGGTTGAATGTCAGGTACTTAAAGACCTGTGAGATTTAGCAGCTAGGTCCTCAATCTTTGTATTTTAGTGACTTACATATCCAAATTTCATACCAGTGAATTCCAAAGGGATGCTCACATGTATTTATTCCACTGCAATTTTGAGGTGTTTAACAATTGGACCGTAACTGGGAGGCCGGGGATGGATGAATTAAGGAGGTAGCTCTTATTTGTGACCTGGTTTAAACAGAGAGTTAAGTAGGGATCTTGCCACAATCTCTTGTCTGTAAATTGTGTTACCAGAGCTCTCGAGTGAGCAGCCTTTTCCCACATCTGTGGTACAGTGATAACTGGTGATGCTCTGTGATGATGTTTACAGCCCTGTTAAGATCCTAAAAGTGCCTCTAAATCATCAAAGGGAGATTAAATTATGGTGAGCATAGTCTTATGATTCAGGATATCTTATTAAATTCAGACTCCAAAAGAGGTGACTCATGGATAGGTTATGCATTAAACTCAATATGTAACTCTCCAGAAGATGCCCCCTTTCCCCTCCCCCGCCCAGTCTCCCTTCTTTGATCAGGCCAAATAACAGCTCTCTGAGCCCTATAGCAGTCAAAAAAGTCTTCCACAGAATTTGGTGGAAAACTGATGATTTTTCCAACCAGTGATCATTTCCAAGTTGAGATTTTTATCTTTCTCCTGCCAATGATACCTCCAATGAGATGTCAGTCGATTTTGTAGGCAGAGGCAAGTATTGCACTGTCACTGGGGTCATCAGAACAGTATTCAAAACTGCAGATTTTCTGGGTGTCCTATACACACACATGCACCATGTCCATGCCCTAGAGAGTGACAGTCAGACCATGGATATTGAGAGAGCAGAGCAATCGCTTTGAGGGAAATATTAAGTGCTTAAATGACTATAAATTAACTCCATGATACACAAGGTGGGAGAATGTGAAAATTGCTTTGGATGGATCACAGGTGGTACCCGACTCCCAGCCAGCATCGTGCATCTATCTCTTTGATGTTTAGTCCAATCAGGCTTTTGCTAGAGGCTCTTCTTTTGCTAGAGGCTCTTCTTCCTGCTTTTCCCCCCTGCCCCTCCCCACACCCCCCTGCAACCACAGGCCTCGCGGGCTGGCCTCTCCTCTACCACTGCCCAGGTCTCTGCCCACCTGGGCCAGGTCCTTGGCAGCTGAATAGATGGATGGCGGAAGGGTGGGGCGCACAAGGGGCCCCTGTACTGCCGCCCTGCTACCCCATCCCCACTTCCTGGACCCTGAGCTCCTCAGATGTGCAAGGCACGTGTCAGCACACCATCCGGAGCTTAGTGAATGCTGCTGAATGAATGAGAGTGAGTGAACCCAGCGAATCGCGGCTCCCTTTCTCCTTCCTTCTCCTTCACTTCCTTTCTCCAGTACCGTTTGGCAGTTGGTCAGTTGGGACAAAGAACAGGAAAATTCTCCCTCTGCTGATGTGGGACACAGTGCCGCTCCCGCCAGGTGCCCCTTTACCCCATCCTCACTGTGCACGGCTCTGCCCAGAGGAGGATGGGGGTAGGGGAGGCATGGAGGGAGAACCCTAGGAAATCCCTGGTCTGCGTCTGCATTGTCGTACCCAGTCCATGCCACTGCTAACCCCCTCCTCCATCCCCACTCCTCTCCCCTCGCCCCGCACCCCTGAACAGCGACACCTGCACCCGCCCTCCTTCCCCGGGTGCACCAGCCTGTGTGCCCCTCCCACCTCAGGACCAGCCCCCTAACTACCCACGTGCCCCGGGTTGGGAGATGGACGCTACGTTAAAAGCCTGGTGAAATAGAAGGCAGGAAGCATTTTAGATGCTCCACCGGGGGTCAGGTTTTAAAAGCTCTCAAAATCAGATCTGACAATCCAAGAAAAAAGGATAATGACACAGATTTCTAAGAAACCCAGTTGGAGGTAGACAGTGGAAGCTGTTTTTTCCTGACTCGGGGGGTGGATATTCTCCCACTGCTCTTGACCCAGGCCTGGGTCCCCGTCTCGTGCTCCGGGCCCTCTAAGTGGGCTGTGGGGAGAGGACATTGGGGAAGGAGGCTGAGGGGACTTTGCGGCAAGAGCTCTCCGCTGCGGGCGCTCCCCAGGGCTGGTATTTTCATGTCAGGCTCTGGAAGGACAAGAAGCCAGAAAGAAACAGGGGAGCCGTCTCTGCAGGGGACTAGATGTCAGCAGCCAGCAAGCGGCCCTTTAGCAAAAGCAGCCCATTCGGTCCCTGCGTACCTTGTAGTAGTGCCCGTCAGTGGGGAAGCCGCTGTGTCTTGAGGAGGGACTGGGGTATCCGCATCCCCCAGCATATGCTGGATGCCACTCAGCCTGCCCGTGTCCACGCCGCTTCTGAGCTTGGGTTTGGTTAGAAAATTAGCGTTCTTCTTGAAGGAAGCCAATTTGCACTTGCATCTGTCTTTTTTAAAAATCAACAGTGCAGGTAGAGACACAGAAAGGCTGCTTGGAAAATGTGCAGAGTAGGGAGACAAAGCTGACATATTGGAGGACAGAGTCAAAAAGCAAAAAGATCTTCCTGGGCTGGAATAATGAACTAAAACCAAGGAGGCTAAATGTAATAGGGCCCTGGGCAGAAATCCAACATTAGTTTGTTTGTTTGTTTGTTTTTTTAAATTGCACAAGCTCACGATCAGGGAGATGTGAATTGGTTCATATGAATATTGGTTGATTGTCTAATCAATGCAGCCGTCTGGGTTTATCCTGGGATTAGAGAAGGAAAGGAAAATTTCAGACCCACCAGTTAGGATGACTACACTGGAGAAGACCCAGAAAATTCCACTTATTGAGTATAATTCATTCTCAACCCAGAGAGACATAGGGCTCCGGTAGCTTCAAATGAACGCTTACAGCCCAAAGATAGACGGTACTAGTCATCATCTGGTACAGGCTGCCCTTGAGAGCCAGGTGTCGGTGCCAGGCACCCCCAGGACCAGGACCACCTTTAGTCTGCATGCTGATCTGTCAGCTGATCAGGGGAGGGGATTTATTTATTTGGTACAAGATATGGTTGCCTCCCGAAGGACACTTTAGGGGGCTTCCCTCAGAGGGTCTGAGGATGTAGTAGGCACCTGTCCAGTACATCCCCTTCCTGACCTCGATGGGAAGGTACATCGCACTTGTAATCATCTCTTCTTTTTTCATAGATATGTGGAACTGACCAGCTACTGCGATTATAAAGACTACCGGGAAACTATATTGAGCAAACCAATGCTATTCTTTATTAATGTACAGACCAAAAAGGACTCCTCGAAAGGTAGGTTTGTAAATGTTTGGGTTTGGTTCTGCCTTGCTGGGCTGTGGACTGTAGCCTGCTGATGAGGTAGAAGTTGGGCGTGGAGAAAGCAGGGCGGATGTCAGCTTGTGTAAGGCTGGAAGCCTGGTGTGTGAGGCCATCAGCACAGCACAAGCCTGCAGAGCAAACCTCTAAGTGATCCTACAATAGAAGCCATCTGTCTCTGAGTCTTGTTTCATACTTCCTGTCTAAGCAGGAAGTGATCTCTGAGCCTGCAGGGGTTGCAAAAATGACCAGCGTGATGAAGATGATGATATGTAATATTGCCTGTATCAAGCACTTCTGTGAGGCATGTGCTAATGTGAATAATTGGTCAACAGCCCAGTAGGGCATATCATCCAAAGCAGAACATTTTTGAGCATGAAAGCAGGAACCGTAATAAGTATGCTGGGATAAAGTTATAAACTAGAACTGACTCAGGCATAACTAGGATGCCTGGCCATCCTGCCTATGCGGTACTTATCCCATCCCCACTTTATAGATGAGAAAACTAAGGTAAAGAAAATAAACGCTTATGTAGATGCTTTTATGTTTCATGCTCTGGCCTTCGAATTTCAAGTTTAGCGGTATCTCTTTATTGTTTCTTCAGAAATCAGACTGATAACAACTATATTAACTCAAATTCCAATACGAAAATATCTCAATTTTCCCTTCTCCCTCCCGCTCAGTGATACGTGGGGAAAGTCATGGGCATAAGTGCTGTAATAGCGGTAGCATTTCTTACACTTAATTCTAAATAACGTTCTTCAAATGAGACCAAGAGAGTAAGAATTGATCTACAAATTCCAAATAGACTTCCTCAAACATGCCCTTCCTCATTCAGATTCGTTGGACCTGATTCTCTACTCGTCTCATTCAGAGTCATTCAGATTCCCTTCTCACTTCATAATTCAGAGTCACAATGTCCTTCTTGGCAGGAGGGGCCGGGAACAGATCACACTGTAACAAGCAATGCTCGGTAGAGCATCTGAGCCCCTGATGCTATTTGGCTTGCTGGTGACCAGAAAGCTGAGACTTCTCTAGGAATGTAATGCACAGATGTATCCAGTATACCTCCCGCACTGATCTCTCAGGAGGGTTCTTAAGAAAGAATAAGAGACCTCTCCATTTTAACATTGTAATGAACATACAGGGAGTGGTATAAGGAAATATTTGTGGGTGGCCTTGAAAAGATTCACAGTTATATAATGCTTGTGGAAGGAGGTAGGGAAACCCAGTCCTCATTGGCTGTGAGGAAAGCCGTGAAATGAAGAGATTCTGTGACACAAAGCTTAAGATGGTCAAGTTTAAATTATGAAAATTGTGATTAGGGCAACACGTCCAGCCCTGCTGCTATCCTAAACTTGTACTTGTGCAAATTTAGAAGAAGCCACCATTACCTCAAGACAATTTACTAATCCTTCCCAGAAGTTTGTCATAATAAATGTACAAGTAGACAATGTGGAAGAGATTGGCATCCTCTAGAATTGTGCAGTGCACAGCCTGCGCAACCTGCACAACGGTGGATGGAGGGTGGCGGCCTTAAGTATCTAATGAGCCCAAAGGTCTTGGTTTAGTTTATGTGAAAGTTGATTCAAGGTATCAAATAGCTGGCTTGCTTTACTTGCTTATTTATATATTTTCTCAAAGAGGAAACAAGGTAGTTTCTATCTAAAGTGCCCCAAAAAATAATTTGGGAGAAAGGAAAACAGGGGAAGGAAAAAAAAGATGGATAAGGTTAGTGCAAAGGTTAGTTCAAAATGTATTCCCCAAGGACGTAACACTTGCTATTGGTGGACCACAGGTTTGATGCTCAAAGCCCGTGTAGGATGTTCAGTTCCCCAAATCACATGATGGCTGGTCCATGGCCTTTAAACAAAGGGTGGCATTCTATGTTATGGGTCTCCCTAGAAAAAGTGCTTGAGTAATGAAGGACATGGAGCTTGATTCCGGGGGCTGGAAAAGTTAAGAGGTTGTTGGTTCGCAGTATTTAAAATTTCCTAGGGAGTAAACAACCACCCCTTTGCTTAGATTAGATAGAACTGGACAGAATTGGATTTAAACCAAACCAAACCGATCAAATAAAGAACAAAAAACAACTGCCAGGACACAGACGTGGCATTATTTAAACAATGGGAGGGACATTTCCGCTGGGCTTGTGCTGGGCTGGGACGTGGAGGAGAGAACCAATCTCAGGTTACCTTGGTCCTTAGAACTCTAGACTAGCCCTTTGCAGACTGAAAGCCAGGTCTCTGGGGGAGGACAGGGAACGATGAGGGAGGGGGAAGGCAGGGGAAGCGTCCTTCCCTGGACTGATTTTCTGCTTTGTAAGTGAGGAAGTATGGGTGAGAGCCAAGTTGCTGTTTATCCAGCAAGGCAGTGACACGAAAACCAGCCATCTCCAGTTTTCACTTTGGCTCCCATGCTGGCTGCACACAGAGGAGACTCAGTGCTTATCTGTGATAATTATGGACTGGAACTTTTGATTTCTGAGGCAAGAGTGACAAAATGCAGCCTGGGGGGAGCTGATTTTCTAACCTGCGTTGAAAGTATCCTGGAGCTTCCTCACGCCTGCAAATTTCTTGGAAACATTTCTAGAAACCTGGTTAGGCTTTGCAGTGAGGGAGCAGCGAGGGAGGTTATAAATTAATAAAATCTCCAAATATGGTGGGAATCACTGCTTTGTCAGATACTAAGAAGTACACATGCACCCTTGTTTTTTGACTTCTACTTCCTAATTTCTAGAAAGAACGTATGCGTTTCTTGTGAACACCAGGCACCCCAAGATAAGAAGACAGATAGAGCAGGGGATGGACATGGTCATTTCCTCAGTGATTGGAGAAAGCTACTGGCTTCAGGTGAGGTTGGCTTGTGTGAATCCAGGGCTGCCAACACACAGAAGAAGGTCTGGGCGTTTCAGGCCAGGACTGAGTCCCTAGAGCTTAACTCTAACTTAAATGAATCCAGGCACAGACCTTTTATATTGCTTCATTATCACTGCCAATAAAATGAACTTAGTTTCTAGCAGCTTCTTAGAAACAGGGTAAGAATAAATATAAATTTGACCAAGCAGTTCAAGGTCTTTACATGGATTTTGATGCAAATGCAAAGATTTGTTTTAAAAAAATAAAGGCAACTGACTGAGGGCAGACGCCAAAACCAACAGGAACTATGAACCTGCAGCCCGCGAAAAGGAGACCCCAAGCACAGTAAATTAAGCAAAATGAGAAGACGGAGAAACACACAGCAGATGAAGCAGGAAGGAAGGAGCAACACACCAGACCAAACAAATGAAGAGGAAATAGGCAGTCTACCTGAAAAAGAATTCAGAATAATGATCGTAAAGATGATCCAAAATCTTGGAAATAGAATGGAGGAAATACAAGAAACGTTTAACAAGGACCTAGAAGAACTAAAGAGCAAAAAAACAATGATGAGCAACACAATAAATGAAATTAAAAATTCTCTAGAGGGAATCAATAGCAGAATAACTGAGGCAGAAGAACAGATAAATGACCAGGAAGATAAATAGTGGAAATAACTACTGCACAGCAGAATAAAGAAAAAAGAATGAAAAGAATTGAGGACAGTCTCAGAGACCTCTGGGACAACATTAAATGCACTGACATTTGAATTATAGGGGTCCCAGAAGAAGAAGAGAAAAAGAAAGGATCTGAGAAAATATTTGAAGACATTATAGTTGAAAACTTCCCTAATATGGGAAAGGAAATAGTCAAGTCCACGAAGTGCAGAGAGTCCCATACAGGATAAATCCAAGGAGAAACACTCCAAGACACATATTAATCAAACTATCAAAAATTAAATACAAAGAAAACATATTAAAAGCAGCAAGGGAAAAACAACAAATAACTTACAAGGGAATCCCCATAAGGTTAATAGTTGATCTTTCAGCAGAAACTCTGCAAGCCAGAAGGGACTGGCAGGAGATATTTAAAATGATGAAAGGGAAAAACATAAAACCAAGATTCCTCTACCCAGCAAGGATCTCATTCAGATTTTTTTGTTTTTGTTTTTGTTTTTGTTTTTGATTTTGTTTTTTTTGCGGTACGCGGGCCTCTCACTGTTGTGGCCTCTCCCGTTGCGAAGCACAGGCTCCGGATGCGCAGGCTCAGCGGCCATGGCTCACGGGCACAGCCGCTCTGCGGCATGTGGGATCTTCCCTGACCGGGGCACGAACCCGTGTCCCCTGCATCGGCAGGCGGACTCTCAACCACTGCGCCACCAGGGAAGCCCTCTCATTCAGATTTGACGGAGAAATTAAAACCTTTACAGACAAGCAAAAACTACGAGAATTCAGCAACACCAAACCAGCTTTACAACAACTGCTAAAGGAACTTCTCTAGTCAGGAAACACAAGAGAAGGAAAAGACCTACAATAACAAACCCAAAACAATTAAGAAAGTGGTAATAGGAACATACATATTGATTACTACCTTAAATGTAAATGGATTAAATGCTCCAACCAAAAGACATAGACTGGCTGAATGGATACAAAAACAAGACCCGTATATATGCTGTCTACAAGAGACCCACTTCAGACCTAGGGACACATACAGACTGAAAGTGAGGGGATGGAAAAAGATATTCCATGCAAATGGAAACCAAAAGAAAGCTGGAGTAGCAATTCTCATATAAGACAAAAGAGACTTTAAAATAAAGACTACTACAAGAGACAAAGAAGGACACTACATGATGATCAAGGGATCAGTCCACGAAGAAGATATAACAATTCTAAATATTTATGCACCCAACATAGGAGCACCTCAATACACAAGGCAAATGCTAACAGCCGTAATATTGACAGTAACACAATCCTAGTAGGGGACTTTAACACTCCACTTTCACCAATGGAAAGATCATCCAAGATGAAAATAAATAAGGAAACACAAGCTTTAAATGATACATTAAACAAGATGGACTTAATTGATATTTATCAGACATTCCATCCAAAACCAACAGAATACACTTTCTTCTCAAGTGCTCAAGGAACATTCTCCAGGATAGATCATGTCTTGGGTCACAGATCAAGCCTTGGTAAATTTAAGAAAATTGAAATCATATCAAGTACCTTTTCTGACCACAACACCATGAGACTAGATATCAATTAAAGGAAAACAATCTGTAAAAAATGCAAACACATGGAGGGTAAACAATACACTACTAAATAACCAAGAGATCACTGAAGAAATCAAAGAGGAAATCAAAAAATACCTAGAGACAAATGACAATGAAAACACGATGACCCCAAACCTATGGGATGCAGCAAAAGCAGTTCTAAGAGGGAAGTTTATAGCAATAGAATCCTGCCTCAAGGAACAAGAAACATCTCAAATAAACAACCTAACCTTACACCTAAAGCAATTAGAGAAAGAAGAACAAATAAAACCCAGAGTTAGCAGAAGGAAAGAAATCTGAAAAATCAGATCAGAAATAAATGAAAAAGAAATGAAGGAAACAGTAGCAAAGATCAATAAAACTAAAAGCTGGTTCTTTGAGAAGATAAACAAAATTGATAAACCATTAGCCAGACTCATCAAGAAAAAAAAGGGAGAAGACTCAAATCAATAGAATCAGAAATGAAAAAGGAGAAGCAACAGCTGACACTGCAGAAACACAAAAGATCATGAGGGATCACTACAAGCAACTCTATGCCAATAAAATGCACAACCTGGAAGAAATGGACAAATTCTTAGAAAGGTATAACCTTCTGAGACTGAGCCAGGAAGAAATAGAAAATATGAACAGACCAATCAAAAGCACTGAAATTGAAAATGTGGTGAAAAATCTTCCAACAAGCAAAAGCCCAGGACCAGATGGCTTCACAGGTGAATTCTATCAAACATTCAGAGAAGAGCTAACACCTATCCTTCTCAAACTCTTCCAAAATATAGCAGAGGGAGGGACACTCCTAAACTCATCCTAGGAGGCCACCATCACCCTGATACCAAAACCAGACAAAGATGTCACAAAGAAAGAAAACTACAGACCAATATCACTGATGAATATAGATGCAAAAATCCTCAACAAAATACGAGCAAACAGAATCCAACAGCACATTAAAAGGATCATACACCATGACCAAGTGGGGTTTATCCCAGGAATGCAAGGATTCTTCAACATACGCAAATCAATCAATGTGATAAACCATATTAACAAATTGAAGGCGAAAAACAATATGATCATCTCAATAGATGCAGAAAAAGCTTTCAACAAAATTCAACACCCATTTATGATAAAAACCCTGCAGAAAGTAATCATAGAGGGAAGCTACCTCAACATAATAGAGGCCATGTATGACAAACCCACAGCCAACATCATCCTCAATGGTGAAAAACTGAAACCATTTCCACTAAGATCAGGAACAAGACAAGGTTGCCCACTCTCGCCACTCTTATTTAACATAGTTTTGGAAGTTTTAGCCACAGTAATCAGAGAAGAAAAGGAAATAAAAGGAATCTAAATCGGAAAAGAAGAAGTAAAGCTGTCACTGTTTGCAGATGACATGATACTATACATAGAGAATCCTAAAGATGCTACCAGAAAACTACTAGAGCTAATCAATGAATTTGGTAAAGTAGCAGGATACAAAATTAATGCACAGAAATCTCTGGCATTCCTATATACTAACGATGAAAAATCTGAAAGTGAAATCAAGAAAACACTCCCATTTACCATTGCAACAAAAAGAATAAAATATCTAGGAATAAACCTACCTAAGGAGACAAAAGACCTGTATGCAGAAAATTATAAGACACTGATGAAAGAAATTAAAGATGATACAAACAGATGGAGAGATATACCATGTTCTTGGATTGGAAGAATCAACATTGTGAAAATGACTCTACTACCCAAAGCAATCTATAGATTCAATGCAATCCCTATCAAACTACCACTGGCATTTTTCACAGAACTAGAACAAAAAATTTCACAATTTGTATGGAAACACAAAAGACCCCGAATAGCCAAAGCAATCTTGAGAACAAAAAATGGAGCTGGAGGATGGCAGTTTTCACAGGACTACAACAAAAAATTTCACAATGTGTATGGAAACATAAAAGACCCCGAAAAAAAAAAAAGACCGCAAATAGCCAGAGCAATCTTAGAAAGAAAAACGGAGCTGAAGGAATCAGGCTCCCTGACTTCAGACTATACTACAAAGCTACAGTAATCAAGACAGTATAGTACTGGCACAAAAACAGAAATACAGATCAATGGAACAGGATAGAGAGCCCAGAGATAAACCCACGCACATATGCTCATCTTAACTTTGATAAGGGAGGCAAGAATATACAATGGAGAAAAGACAACATCTTCAATAAGTGGTGCTGGGAAAACTGGAGAGCTACATGTAAAAGAATGAAATTAGAACACTCCTGCTGTGGAGCACAGGCTCAGCAGCCATGGCTCATGGGCCCAGCCGCTCTGCAGCATGTGGGATCTTCCCGGACTGGGGCACGAACCCGTGTCTGCTGCATGAGCAGGTGGACTCCCAACCACTGCGCCACCAGGGAAGCCCCCTGGTCACCTATTTTTGATAAAGGAGGCAAGAATATACAATGGAGAAAAGACCTCTTCAATAAGTGGTGCTGAGAAAACTGGACAGGTACATTTAAAAGACTGAAATTAGAACACTCCCTAACACCATACACAAAAATAAACTCAAAATGGATTAAAGACTTAAATGTAAGGCCAGACACTATAAAACTCTAAGGGGAAAACATAAGCAGAACACTCTATGACATAAATCACAGCAAGATCCTTTTTGACCCAGCTCCTTGAGAAATGGAAATAAAAACACAAATAAACAAATGGGACCTAATGAAACTTAAAAGCTTTGGCACAGGAAAGAAAACCATAAACAAGACGAAAATACAACCCTCAGAATAGTAGAAAATATTTGCAAATGAAGCAACTGACAAAGGATTAATCTCCAAAATTTACAAGCTCAGTATCAAAAAAACAACCCAATCCAAAAATGGGCAGAAGACCTAAATAGACATTTCTCCAAAGAAGATATACAGACTGCCAACAAACACATGAAAGGATGCTCAACATCACTAATCATTAGAGAAGTGCAGATCAAAACTGCAATGAGGTATCACCTCACACCAGTCAGAATGGCCATCATCAAAAAATCTACAAACAATAAATGCTGGAGAGGGTGTGGAGAAAAGGGAACCCTCCTGCACTGTTGGTGAGAATGTAAATTGATACAGTCACTATGGAGAACAGTATGGAGGTTCCTTAACAGACTAAAAACAGAACTACCATACGACCCAGCAATCCCACTACTGGGCATATACCCTGAGAAAACCATAATTCAAAAAGAGTCATGTACCAAAATGTTCATTGCAGCTGTATTTACAATAGCCAGGACATTACAATAGCCAGGAAGATGTGGCACATATATACAATGGAATATTACTCAGCCATAGAAAGAAACGAAATTGAGTTATTTGTAGTGAGGTGGATGGCCCTAGAGTCTGTCATACAGAGTGAAGTAAGTCAGAAAGAGAAATACAAATACCGTATGCTAACACATATATATGGAATCTAAAAAAAGAAAAGAAAAAAAAGGTTCTGAAGAACCTAGGGGCAGGATAGGAATAAAGACGCAGACGTAGAGAATGGACTTGAGGACACGGGGAGGGGGAAGGGTAAGCTGGGATGAAGTGAGAGACTGGCATGGACATATATACACTACCAAACGTAAAATAGATAGCTAGTGGGAAGCAGCCGCATAGCACGGGGAGATCAGCTCGGTGCTTTGTGACCACCTGGAGGGGTGGGATAGGGAGGGGGGGAGGGAGACGCAAGAGGGAAGAGATACAGGAACATATGTATATGTATAGCTGATTCACTTTGTTATAAAGCAGAAACTAACACACCATTGTAAAGCAATTATACTCCAATAAAGATGTCAAGTAAATCAATAAAAGATAAAGGCAACTGTTTAAAAATATGTCAGAAAATGTGTACATGCAGTTGACTCAGTTCGTTGTGCAGCAGAAACTAACACAACATTGTAAAGCAACTATACCCCAATTTTTAAAAAATCTATACCTTCTTGTTTGGAAAAAAAGTATGTCAGAAAGGAAGAGAGAAATAAGAGGTGTGATATTTTGGACATTTGGACAGTTGTTAATTCTGTAATATAATTCTATGATATGTCTGTAATGCAACATTATCATTATATCCCTGAAATTAACTAAATGCTTCTCTCTGTTTCAGTTTGATTTTCAAGAGGCAGTGAAGAATTTTCTCCCTCCAGGAGACAAGGTGGTGAACGGAGAAAATCTGAGCTTTGCGTATGAATTCAAAGCTGACGCGTTATTTGATTTCTTCTATTGGCTTGGGCTCAGCAATTCCACTGTAAATGTGAATGGAAAAGTTGTGAATTTGTCAAGTACAAGTCCAGAAAAGAAGGAGACCATTAAATTGTTTCTGGAAAAAATGAGTGAACCTTTAATCCGGAGGAGCAGTTTCTCTGACCGAAAATTCAGTGTAACTTCCAGAGGTATGTTAAAAATCCTCAAGTACCCGAGGACAGTAGTTACATTAAAGGGTAGAATAATATCATGGGAGAGGAGATTCAATTAATGGAAAAGGTAAGGCTTCTTGGTAAAGGGGAAATATAATACCACATAGTTCAGAAACTAGGACAACATTGTAAATCAATTACACTTCAATAAAAATTTAAAAAAAAAAGGAAATATAGTGACTTTTCCTTTTAGGCTCCTTTAAGTTTTCTGACATAACAGTTTTACAGTGCAGCATACCCAGAAAATAATTTTAAAATATATTATTAATGTAAATACACGTTAATACTCATTGAACTATTATTAACAATAATTTAACTATAGAAGAATGATGCTTTCCTGATGTGCATATTCAGGGTAACAGAAGGTTAAGGAAAAGTGTTGGCTGACGGGGGAAGGCACATGGTTGAGATATCCATCTTTATAGATATTTGGAAGGGTTCTCCAGAGTTTCTAAGACACAGAAGAATATCTCTTGAGACTGCTTCAATTAACAGACCGCAGGTCACATCTGGTGCGTTCTAGATTTTACATCCAGGGCCTCCTTCCCAGGACTAGGGGAGACCTTTCAGTCCGATGTGGCTAAGGCAGTGATATCAGTCAAGTCATCTGGATCTGTCTTCTGCTGAGCCTGCTGTCTGTCCCAGGCTAGTCTGTGCTGGAAGGCAACTTCCCTGAACCAGGACTTTTGCTGCTCATTGCAAACAAACAAACAAAGAAAAACAAGCAAAAGACAACAACAAAACACCAGTCTCTACGAACCTGTCGTTTTCAAAAAGTTAAAAAAAAAAAAATACAGAGGCTTCATTAGTTGCGTTTAATGACAGTTGCTTTCTTCCAATGTTTCTAGCAAAAATGCTTACTCCTAGCTATTTCTTATCCTGGAAAGTAGCTTCCCTCTGTCTCTGTCTGTCTCTGTCTCTCCCTCCTTCCCTCCTGCCTTTCCCCCTCCTCCTTCTCTCTCCCTCTTTGTTGCTTTGCTTTCTCTGTCTGGGTGCTTTTTACAAAGATGCCTTTGTTCTCTGCTCCATTGCTGCCACGGTGGGGGGGGGGGAGGGGAAGTTATATGCTCATCCTTTTGGGGGAAGATTACCTTGCCTGGTTGTGGCCATCCCAGATGCCAGGTCCTTCCTGGGACACCCTCCAGCCCACCCACTGGCCACAGCAGCCTGAGCAGGGTTTTTCTGTTTCACCATCGCTCACCCACTGTGCTTTAGGCTGCCCGGGTGTTCCCTGGCATCCTGGGGAGACTGAGGGGCATGTGAAGTTGGGCAATGCTTCCTTGCAAGTTTACTCCGAGCCGGCCCTGGGGCCACTTCTACTTCAGAGCAGTGGGGAAGGATTCTTCAAGGCCCACCTGAGTCGTCATTATGCACTGCAGGTGACCCAACCACCATGTATCAGCCACTCGGCAGGCAGCTCCACTGGCTCAGCCCTGGTGATCACTCAGCCCAGCTTCATCTCCTTCTCGAAAACAGACCTTTGTCCTAGGCATCTTTTCCCCACCTGTGGGCCTTTTGTCATCAAGTGAGAAAGGGTACCTGTACCTCCAGCCCATGGAGAAGCAAGTGACAATCCACATCCTCCTGGTGAACAGAAAGCAACACGTTTCTGTCAGCTTTTTGAGTTTTTCTGAGGAAGCCAGGATTCCCTATTCATTATTGAAATGGTTACGTTGGATGCTGCATGGGCTTTAGGTACTGTTGGATTTGGGTTTTAGTTTTCCAGAGATGGTAATAATGCAAGCCCTGTTTACTTTTCTCAGGTTCACTAGATGAAGTTTTTAACTGCAGTCTGTCACCCAGATCATCTCTGATGGAGCCTCTTTTGGCAGAATTACCATTTCCATGTGTTCTGGAATCTGAAGAGACACCCAACCCATTTATCTGATTGGATTGGACATTTTACAGCTCTTCCTACACCCCAGGCCTGTGCCAGAACCCAAGGCTGAGGGGATCCAAGAGAGATGGGAGGCGGGTACCTTTGCCCTCTGCTCCTACAGAGACCCCTCCTTTCCATTTTTTTTTTCTTTTTTTTTTTGCGGTACACGCGCCTCTCACTGTTGCGGCCTCTCCCGTTGCGGAGCACAGGCTCCGGACGCGCAGACTCAGCAGCTATGGCTCACGGGCCCAGCCGCTCCGCGGCATGTGGGATCTTCCCGGACCGGGGCACGAACCCGCGTCCCTTGCATCGGCAGGCGGACTCTCAACCACTGCGCCACCAGGGAAGCCCCTCTCCTTTCCATTTTTGTGGGTGATGCTTTGGCAGGGCTGATGCAGCTGTCTTCAGGATGGGAGGGCTTTGGCCCCATGGCCTGGGCGGTTCCTCTTCTTTTAACACTTCTCCAAAGAGGCAGAGGGAGTGGCAGAGTCCTGCCACCCTGAATATTCCGCTTATACCCTGGCGTCCTGGGAGGTCCCTGGGCAGCCTTTGTGGGAGCCATCTGACATGGGTTTTGCCCTGTGATGCTTCGTAAATCTGGGTTTAGCGCTCTGCTTGTCTGAACCCAAACCCAGCAAGCACGGGGTTAGCAGTGCCATTCTTTTGCAAACCTTGCTGAGCAAAAACCCCAGGACATCCTTCATCAGAAGGCAAGTATGTTTTTCATCCTGCCCATAGGATGAAACCTTAGGAGAAACATTCACGGTGAGGCTCGAGGGAGGATTGGCCAGGTTGATAAGGCGGTAACCCTGCCACCCGCTGCCTGAAATTTGAACTCCCTTGACCTCCCTCTTAACAAAGTGGCCCGTGTAGAAAGAGGCCAGGTGATGTGATACCAAACATGACAGGAGAAGGGTAATGTATGCGGCATTGTCCTCTCTGTTAAAAGCACATTATGTCAGTTGGGTATTTCATAAGCTTTTAGCTATCCTAACACTAAAAGCAAAATAGAAGAAAGCTATACCATTACCATAATACATTGTTACAGCAATACATTTTTCATCTCATAGCTACAGTGGAGTTCTTCAAAAAGAAAAAAAAAAAATCATCCTATTTACATCCTAAAAACCTGCATGAATGAGTTGCTACACAGGCTTATAATGAGAAAGATTTCTGGGTCCTGAGTATAATTTTTCTGTCCTTTTAAAAAATATTCCTGTATTATACATTATGATAGCACTACTGATTGTCCTTTCATTTATATTTGAAATGGTATGTACTACATTTGTGCAATTAAATTTTTCCTTAACATTCAGCATCGAATTGAGTAAATTTGTGACCAAACATGTGTGATCTTTCCATCACACTCTGCAGGTGGTATGTTGGCCTTGTAACTTATTACAGTAAGAATTGTGGTTTTACAGCTACTTTATCAAGAGCCTTCTTTGAAGAATAGGTCTATGAAATATTTGGAGAAAAAAACTTGATACTGATGTTTCAGAAAAGGGGAATGTTCCTTAATAACAGAAGATGATAAACATTTGTTATTCAAACTCGGTGCAAAATGAAGAATATTAACAAAAAAATAAGTTATACACCAGAACAAACAAACCTTAGGTGAATTTCAAATAGTATATGCTTCCCAAAGGAAATAGAAACTCTATTCACAAAAATTGACAAAGTCCATTTTTTGAAAATAGTTGAATTCAGGAAAACCATTGGTAATCGCTCCAGAAATGGACTAAAGATCTGGAAGTTTTCTTTTTTAAATTTATTATTTAATTTATTTATTGTTTTTGGCTGCGTTGGGTCTTCGTTGCTGCCCGTGGGCTTTCTCTAGTTGCGGCGAGCGGGGTCTACTGTTGGTTGCTGTGCGCGGGCTTCTCATTGCAGTGGCTTCTCTTGTTGCGGAGCACAGGCTCTAGGCACGCGGGCTTCAGTAGCTGTGGCTCGCGAGCTTCAGTAGTTGTGGCTCATGGGCTCTAGAGCGCAGGCTCAATAGTTGTGGCGCACGGGCTTAGTTGCTCCGCGGCATGTGGGATCTTCCTGGACCAGGGCTGAAACCCGTGTCCGCCCCTGGAAGGTTTCTTTTATCATTAAAAATTGTTTTCAGTCAACTCAGAGCCAAATGCATTTACTTAATTTGATATTCACTTACCAAAGTTTTATGACTGCCTCCAAGGAAATATACTCTGTGCTAATGTATATTTCATTGGCAAATGTCACAAAGAATTGATACTGGGAAATCTATAAAATGGGTGAAAAGTCTATTGGGACAGATCTTCCTGGGTCAAAGTGACCTCAGTCTGGATGTATATTTGCCCTAATTCAGACATCTTAAACAGTTTAAGATCAGTAGAAATGTATAGGACAAGAATGGCCTAAGCAATCATTCACTCCATTCATTCATTCATTTATCACATATGATTGAGTGCCTACTGTGTGCAGTGCACTGGAGCTGGTATATAAAGGTGCCTAAAACGTGGCCCTTGCTCTCAAGGAACATCCAGTCTTGTAAAAGACAGGTGTACAGCTAGTAAGAACAATGAAATCAGTGCTACGGGAGAGATTCAAAAAGGAGAGCGTCTAAAACGCTTGTGATCCAGTTTTGGAGATAAAATTACTGACGTATAACTGTAAAATTTAGTTTTAGAGGAAACATGTAAGGATCAATTTATCCAAGCAACTGATTTACTGAAGTTCTCAGTGAAAGAGTCACCTTGGAAGCTATTAATTTTTTCCAACAAGAATGCAATCCAGACATTATCTACAGAATAAGGGAGTTTTTCGCTTATTACCTCATGGTTAGAGCTTGATTTTTGGCCAAAGGAAAACATTGTCCAACTTGCTTGCCTACCTTAATTATCAGCTCGAATGTCTTCTTACTGTTTCAAATACCCGTCTATCTTCAAAGAGCAAAGTTATACCCCAATTTCAGAAATTCGAAAGAATGTGCATCAGTGTTTGAAGGGAGTTCCTAAAGAATTTCAAAGATGCTTTAAGCAATGGCAGTGTCATTATAATAAATGATTACTTTGAAGAAGAGAAGATTCATTTGGATGGCTAACTGCTGGTCTAACAGATTTAAAATGAGTGTTCACACTTGATATTCACGGCTTGAATAAACTTGAGAGACCCAATAATGCAAGGCATTAGTAATTGTTCTTAAGGGTTCAGAGAAGAGAAAAACACAAGAATCAGAGACAGCAGAGATGGCCCAGGAAGGAGGTGACATTTATATACGATTGATGAGGTTTTGATAGAATCAAACGTCTGAACTTGCTGTTATGGCTTTATTTGGATAAAATGTGAGTTTGGTGAGTGGCAGGTTAGAAGCAGAGCTTAGAATTTACCCTGTTAAACTGGACTGTCCTAATAAAATAGAGACCATTATAAAATTTTCTTTTCTGGATTTTTCAATAAAAACAGAGCAATCATTCTTGGACGGCTTAAACACAACCCCTCTTAGTGGCAGATATGAACCAGGTGACCTCGGAAGACCTGGATCTCTGATGGTAATTTTAAGTGTCAGTTTGGCTGGGCCATGGTGTCCAGATGTGTTGATGTTTATTATTATATTATAATATACATTATGTTAATATACATAATGATGAAACATCATTATTCTTGACGTTTCTATGAGGGTGTTTTGGATGAGGCTAACATTTAAATCAGTGGACTTTAAGTAAAGCAGATTGCCCTCCACAATGTGAATGGACCTCTCCCATCAGCTGAAGGTCTGAATAGAACAAAAGTCTGACCTCCCCTAAGCAAGACAAAATTTTGTACAGATGACCTTCAGACTTGAACTGCAATGTAGGATCTGCCCTGGGCTGCCCTGGGCCTCTGGCCTGCTGGCCTACTTTGCAGATTTAGGACTTGCCAGTCCCCACAATTGTGTGATCCAGTTCCTTAAACTAAGTTTCTTTCTCTCTCTCCACACACACACACACACACACACACACACACACACACACACACACACTATTGGTTCTGTTTCTCTAGAGAACCCTTAATAATACAGAGTCCATCACAGAAATGGAGAAAATGTTTTACGAGTTAATCCATCAGCTAAAACAAAGAGAAAAGACAGTATATATATTTTTTTACATGAAGACACTTGAATAAAAGCATTGCATACCACATAACAGGAAGTCTTGCCAAAATACAGCAAGCAAGCCAGAAAAACTTCACTCAGTATATTCATATCCAAAGCACTTGGCATTGCTGAAGAATGTCCGTGACCTCTTCTGGGCTTTTGGAAGCAGTCACTGGCCAAGTCCCCCATCAACTCTTTCACATTCTTCCTCTCATTCCGGAGACAACCTTTCCTCCCATGTTACCCAGAGCAGAGGTCCTCAAACTTGAATGTGCCCCGGAATCTCTTGGAGGTTTAGCTGCAGATCCTGACTCAGGAGCTTGGTGGGGGAGGGAGGGAGAGCTGTGTTTCTGCGTTTCTAACCAGTTCCCAGGTGATGCCAAGGCTGCTGGTCCTGGGACAAGGCTCTAGACCTGTCCATCTCAAGCGTTACGAATCATCTGGGGATCTTGTTAGAAAAGTAGAATCTTGCTCCCCCCCCCGACTTACTGACTCAGAACTCGTGTTCTCGTCAAATGCCCAGGTGGTGTGGACACGCTCAGTTTGGGGATAGCTTGCTGGCACATCTGCTTCCTCCCGGCTGGGACCCTGTCTACTCTCTCCTGGAGCATCAAGTTCTCTGTCTCTCCCTGCTTCTTACCCTTGGCCTATGAACTTGGTTATTCTTCGCTCCTTTCAAGTAATAACTCTCCATGTGACCCACGCCCTCTTCCCCCGCTAGACCCTCTTCTTCACAGGCAAAATTTGAGTGTTCGGGCTTCCCTGGTGGCGCAGTGGCTGAGAGTCCGCCTGCCGATGCAGGGGACGCGGGTTCGTGCCCCGGTCCGGGAAGATCCCACATGCCGCGGAGCGGCTGGGCCCGTGAGCCATGGCCGCTGAGCCTGCGCATCCGGAGCCTGTGCTCCGCAACGGGAGAGGCCACAGCAGTGAGAGGCCCGTGAACCACAAAAAAGGAAGAAAGAAAACAAATTTGTTTGAGTGTTCCTTCGTTGCTGTCTCTTCCCTCCACCACCCACCCCCATCTTCTGCATATCACGCTCCCTCTGTACGTGTGTGTGGCAGAAAGAAATTTCTTGTAATCATGTGAATTGGAAACCGGTTCCCATTTAACTCATTTGATGCAACTACTCTCAATTGGTTTTAGTCAATTCAAAACTGTGCCACAGGAGCGTTGGTAACCTCAAGGTCTTAGTTTCTGTGTGATGGATCTACTCTGGCAGGTGAATGGAACCTTGCTTCTCTTACTCCTGGAAAAGAGGATTTACTTAAACTACTGACCTGAGCCCTCACGCTGTTGCGTAACTCAGTGCACACTCCTCATATTTAGGTGGAGCTCCTCAGCAGGGCTGTGGGGCTGCTTGGCTGTCCCCCTCCCCGTTCACAGTATGGCAAGACCAAGCTCGCAGGGCCTCTGGAGGACACAGGCTGTTTCCCCCTCCTGGGTCCTTCCTGGGCCTTGGGGCACCTCTACCTCTTCACCCGGTCGCCTCCCGGGCATCTTGGAAAACTCAGCTCAGGCAATTCCTCTCCCCCTCCCCCAAGGTCCCATAATACTCTGGACACTGCCCTTAATGTCATCATACAGCTCACTTCAGGTGCTCCGTATTTGTTGAGGGAAAGAAGAAAGGAAAAATATTCTGCTTAATCCTTAAACGGAGTTGCCTCAAGGAACCCAAATTCAAAGGCAGGAAGAGTGCTGTACTGCTCATAATGAAATGGACCTGTATCAACCATCCGTCTGCAGAAGCAGAAGCAGAAATGAAAGGCTATAAAAAAGAATGAAGGACTTCCCTGGTGGCGCAGTGGTTAAGAATCCACCTGCCAATGCAGGGGACATGGGTTCAAGCCCTGGTCTGGGGAGATCCCACATGCCGCAGAGCATCTAAGCTCGTGAGCCACAACCACTGAGCCTGCTCTCTAGAGCCTGTGAGCCGCAACTACTGAGCCCACGTGCCACAGCTTCTGAAGCCCGCATGCCTAGAGTCTGTGCTCCACAACAAGGGAAGCCACTGCTATGAGAAGCCAGCGCACGGCAACGAAGAGTAGCCCCAGCTTGCTGCAACTAAGAAAGCCTGCACACAGGAATGAAGACCCAACACAACCAAAAATAAAATAAATAAATAATTTGAAACTTTTAAAATAAAATTAAATTTAAAAATAAAGAACGAAGATCAAAAGAGTAATAAGACGAAAGAGCAATACCTTTGGTGTGCGTGGCTTTACGATTTATAAATTATCGTTAGAATTATTCATCTTTACAGCCCATTGAGGTGGGTACTCGTATATTCATTTTACAGATAAAGAAGCTGAGGCTCGGAGCAGTACCTGCTTTACGCCCAAGGCCTTCAGGTAGAAAGTGACAGATCTTCTGGCTCTCGATTCAGCGCGTATCCCTCCCCGCCATTTCACAGCTTGCCTAAGACGAGACAAATGTAAGATATTAATACAAATTCACTGCAAAAATTCTATATACTCACTGCTCTATTTTTAAAGTGTATTTCTTTTAAATTATGCTATGCTAATTAGCTCTACTATTTCCAGACAGTAATCTGTTATTGGGTGTTACTTTCTTAATTTAGACTCCACTACTAAATCCTAATTTAGACTCATTCCTTCTAATAACATCGACAGAAGTCTGTGTGTCCCACCATTCATTGCTATAAATTTGAGAACCTAAATCTGTTATATTCATTCCATTACATGGATGGGACTCTACTCTCAGAAACTTGTTTGAGCCCTTCAGTTTAAAGAAATCCTTGCATATATACATGGGATCCTTACTTTGATGCCTATTCTGTCTCCTTTGATAAATTCCCTTTTGTTACTTCACTGTTCACTTAAGGTCTATGTTAGAATAACCCCTTGAAAGGTTAATGGATGGTTGTAAATTGCCTTCTAAACATGGTGCCAGCAGTCTCCAATGCATACTTACTGTTTCCTCTTCGCATCCAAGTGGGTAATAGCTGTGTCCTAGCCAGGAGACACATTCGATATCACTAAGCACCTACTATGTGCCAAATGACCAGGTAGCTGTCAAATAATATGAATATAAAAGACCCTCCACATACTGAGAAAACTCTAACATACATGGGGGTGAGAGACCCAGTTGAACCTGTGAGGATAGAAGAACAATGAAATTGACCGTCACAAAAAAACGATTTTTGGTGCCAGGAACGTGGCCTGGTGAGAAGAAAGGTGTCACACACATCGCTACTCACTCCTCTTTCCAAGCGCACTTTTCTTTCACCTCGCTGCCGGCTCCTAATTCCTGTGCAGAGATGACCAGTTTGATGGCATGAAACTATCTCAGAAACTCTGGTTCTAGTTCCACGTTACGCAAGATTACTTGTGATTTTTAATTCCTCTTGCTCAGATCCTGCAAGATCCCTGACGACTTAGCCTTCATTCGCTTAAGCTGAAAACTATGCATAGCTGGAAATTTGCAGTTGAAAATCTGACAATATTACTTTCTCTTCGGCCCCTTTTGCTCCTCTCCCCAAATATATATAAGACAGTTCTCGGGAAAGCTCATTGCATGAACTAGACAAATACACGAAAGTAAGGTATCCATCATATTACTAGAAACACATCTTTTTACTTTCAGCACCGGGTCCCCCAGCAGGCCCGGTGAAGCGCCCTGCACCTCGTCGGCCAGGGGCTGAGCAGCCGGGAACCTCCCCGCGTCTCCATGGCGAAGCGTCACAAAAGCAGCCGCGCAGCACCCAGCCCGGCTGGTGCAAGAGGCCCAGCGACGGCCTCTTCTAGCAAGAACGGCAGAGCCTGGGCCCGAGGCTCCGTGTCCTTCTCAAATGCGGCCACAAGATCCTGCCAAGTAAGACTGCGGACCCTGCCAGCCGGCGCGGGGCGGAGACGGGGTCTCCCTTGGAGACGCGGTGCCTGGAGCGAAGGCTGCTCGGGTCTTCAAGGGTGTGTGCCTCCCCCTTACGGGTGGGACTCAATTTAACGAGAGGCTGGAAGTCAGGGAAAATGAAAGGGTGTTCACGACCTTGCCCCTGTCCAGCCCTTCGCCATACCTTCTGTCAAAGCCCTCCCTAAACAACTCGGAGTTTAAACACCCCATGAAACGTCCAGGAAGGGACAAGCAAAAGGAAGGCCTAGTGTCTGGAGAACAAAGACGAAGACAAAGAAGCAACAGAGGTCGGGAGCTCTGAAGAGAGCAGACCCAGCGGGGGGCCCTGATCCCCGGCAGGATCTGGAAAACAGCACAGAAAGAGGGCGGGGAGAGGCTGCAGAATGCAGAGAAGCGACCCCCAAGTGGATCTGCAGCATCCCCCCCCCGGTGGCTGTAGCAGAGGCTGGGAACTATGGCATTCAGCTGTCGCTTCTAAACTTCGCTGATTTTTCTTTCAAAGGGATTTTGTATTTAACAGAGGCAGTGCTTTTAATACTAATTTTGCATGCGAATGCAGCTGGTTTACTAACTCAGCTTTTTGTGTCAGTGGAGGGAGAGCCACTCTAGCTGTGGTGCTACTGGCATGATTACTGTGTAGTCAGCTCCATCCTGGTCTTTCTCATGGCAATAATAACCCATCGCAGCCCTCTAGCTGGGTAATTGTGGTTCCCTGGTGGCTACAGAGCAGTGGGGATTGTTCAACTGCAAATTCCCTAGAATTGTAGTCCCAGGAGAATGAATGAAATGCATACTTTCCTCCCATTCATCCCTTTGTAAATTACGAATAGCAAATGAAAATAATTAATACAAAAATATTTACAACACGAGAGTCTCTATGGTGTCCAGGCAGAGGAGCTGGAGCCCTCCCCAGGAACCACTCCCCCACCCCGGCCCCCCGCCCCACTCCCGAGTCTCATCCTCCATTTCTAGCCACCCTGTTTTGGTTTCTTTCACTGTCTGCTCTCCCCCGTCTTGTCTGGGAATGTTAGCGTCCTCCAGGTTTTCTTCTTCTTGGTTTACATCCCCTATGTGAGCGGCCATATCCTGCCACAGGGCTTCTAGTCTACATAAAGGTGCCAATCAATGGCTCTCTCATCTTTATCTCTAACTCAGATGCTCTTCCTAAATCTCAGACCAAAATATCCATCTGTCTACCAGATGCATTTGGATGTCACAGAAGGGCCTCAAACGCAACACGTACAAAGCTATACTGTTTGTCTTCCTAGACTTGGAAGCTCAGTAAGGAGTGTCCCAGCTGCTTAAAGGAGAGGGGAGGGCAGCTTCACTGACACCTCAATGTCATCACCAGGTGTCACTGATTCTGCCTCCAAAGTGTCCCTTCCCCTGGGGGAGTTTGCACCTTCACATCTGGTCCTGAGTCTCTAACAGCCACTCTGTGCTACTCCATCCTCCACTGATGGAAGGGTCACCCTCTAAAAGGTGGGCCTAATGTGTCACTGTCCAGCTCTGGTCTCAAAATAGGATGAGGCTGATGACGCCTATGGACGAATTGCTATCGAACTATTACTATCGACTGGGCTCTTAAGTGCTGTATTCCTTCCAAGGACTGCCATAAATTTCCACAAACTGGTGGCTGAAAACAATAGAAATTAATTCTTTTCACATTTTGGAGGCCAGAAGCCTGGAATCAAGCTATTGGCACGGCTGCGCTCCCTCTGGTGGCTCTTGGGGAGAATCTGTCCTTGTGTCTTCCAGCTTCTGGTGGCTGTCGGCATTTTTTTTTTTTTTTTGTTTTGCGTTACGCGGTCCTTTCACTGTTGTGGCCTCTCCCGTTGTGGGACACGCAGGCTCAGCGGCCATGGCTCACAGTCCCAGCCGCTCCGCGGCATGTGGGATCTTCCCGGGCTGGGGGACGAACCCGT